ATGTGTGCCAGCCCCTTCTTTAGTCCATCTAGAATTTATTTTGCTATAGTGTATAAGTCAGTCATCTAATTGTTTTTTCAAATGGCTGGTCAATTTTCTCAACACTATTTATTCAACAATGCATTGTGGTAAGATGAAAAAATGGTCCTCAGATATGTTCACATCCTAATTCCTGGAACCCATGAAGTTTACCTCAATTGGCAAAAGAGACTTTGCAGATGTGGTTAAGTTAATGATTTAAAAAGTGGGAGATTATCCTGGATACTTTGGATGGGCTCAATGTAACCACATTGGTCATTATCAGAGGGATCCAGGAAGAGTCAGAGGAGGAGATGCAATGATGGAAGCAGAGAGAAGTTTGTTTTCTATGAGTCTGTTTCTATTTTGCAAATAAGTTCATCCCTTGATTCTTTTCAGTAACTTTTTAATCACCGTAGCAATAGCAAAACTCAGATTGGTTAAAAACAGAAGTTGACCATTCTTTTATATCTCTAGAGAAGGCCTTCAGTCAGAATAGGGCTCATTGTCCTATCCAGATAACCTTGGTTAGCCTTGGTCTAAACCTTTGGGCCAAAAGAATGGCAAAGTTCTTAGCACTGGGAACAGACGTGGCACCTGGTTCTTTCATCACAGAGCAGAAATGTTTGCTGACCAGCTGTGGATGCAGCCAACTGATCTGTGCATTTAGAGGATGGCTTGGTCAGTACCGCTGGAGATTAACCAGGCTCATGTGGGATTTTCTGCCAGGATTTGTCTTCCTCCAAGGGAGAAATCCCAGCAAATGGTTCTCAAGGGCAGAGGGAAATGGTACGTGAAAATTATCCCCATTCCCTCACTGTGGTCTACCAGAGAGTCTTGTATTAATGCTACTGTATTCGGAAGTACAGTAAATTGGATCACCTCCAATTCACCAATGGTTTGGATTCAAAGAGCTCCCTTCTAAGTTGGCTGTTTGCAACTTGGAATACATTTGTTTTAAAAGGATGCTGATAAACCTTGTGGTTACAGGCCTTGGTCTGTGTATTAGAAGAACAAAGTGGGCTCTACTCTCTTTCTTTCTGAGTTCTAGTGACAGAGGGGGCTAAGTCCCTCTGCTCCAAGAGTGGCTTCTGTGGCTCCAAGGTGCCACAGTGGCCTGGCACAGGGTGGGTTCTGGGAGGAGAGAGGCCCAGCTTAGGTGAGAGGTGGAGTAATCATCAGGGGTCAGTGTTTCTCTACATCCTCTGGGTCCTTACACTTCCGACTGTTGTCGGGGAAGAGTATGATCCAACAGTCTGGGCCAGGTGCCGGTGGGAGGAAGAGGAAATAAGAAACAGTAGAAAGGCAGGGCTTTCTCTCCAGCCCTTTCCTCTCTGTGCTCACGGCCTGCTACCAAGGCACCCTGCCTTCTATTGGCAACCGGATGAAATAAACAGTAGGAAACAGGGCTCAAGTCCAGGAAATGCTGGGCAGGTGCTCAAAGCTTAAAAATTACAAAAAAAAGAGCAAGGAGATGGGAAAGGAATGAGTCTTCAAGCAGTTGGACGAAGACTTTCTCTCCACTGCATTTTAAAAAATTATGAGTCAGTATTATCTTCATTTTTTGGTCTTCTTCCTTCTTCTCTTCTTATGTTCCTCCTCATCTACCTCATATTTGAAGGACGATGTTCCCATGGGCTCGGCCTTAAGTATTCTTCATTTACAATATATACCTTCTCTCAAGTAACCCCACTCATTTCCAGAGTTAACCTCCAATTATATATTTTTTATATATCAAGTCTTGGACCTCTCTTCTGAGCGCCAGATTCAACCTTGGATATTCTCTTAAACATCTAAAATGTAAGCTGTCTGAAATGGTCATCTAAAACTGAATGCCACTAGAATACAAATTACATGAAGGCAGGGATTTGGGGCTGTTTTTTCTCACTATTGTATCCCCAGTACCCAGAACAGCACATGCATTTATTAGCACATGGAAAGGATTCAATAAATATCTACTGAATGAATTTTTATCTTCTTCCGCAAGTGTCCCTGTGCTTGACAGACATTCATCGACACAAAAGATAAGATGGCACTTACTGTTTTGCTACAGATAATGGTGAAGCTGCATGCAGAAATATGAGGAAATAATTTGCATATATTGGAGAAAGCTATTTCTAGTTCTTTTGTGAGTTTCGCTATGTTTTCTTTCCTGATGTGAACATTAGTCTAAGGAAACGATTTTTCCCTCCCTCTCCCTCCCTTCCTCCACTCCCATCCCCGCCCCCTTTACTGATTTGGAAAGGTCTTGGCAGTGATTAGTTTGGAAGAAATTGAAAGACTGAAGTCCTACGAAACAGTGGACAATTAGTGATTTTAGAGCGTGTTAACCTGCAAAGATGATTTTCTTTCTCTCCATGCTTGTTTGGCAGGAGGGCTCTCTGGGCCTGTGAAATTAGGGATGGATGGCTCTGAAACGCTTGCACAATAATTTGTAAGAAATACAATTCTGAGTAGAAGCCATCAGTGGGAGGAGATGAATAGTTTGTTGGTTAACAGGTCAATGTTGAAAGCCTGAAGAGATTCAACGTTGTATTAAATTATAAGTGAAGAGCCTAACCCTTTTTTCTGGAAGCATATGCATAAACGATGGAGCTTTCTAGACTGTATTTTTTAATGTTTTTTGATCTGTGGTACAGGAAGGAAGGGAGCCGCCCAACCTGGGTTTCTTACGTGTTCTGTGACGTGAAATGATTCATGTTTGAAACGTGCAGTGCTGTCTTCAGCAGAGAAGTCAGGCGGTCCACCTTTAAATAATATTTATAAAGTACAGAATATAATGTTTTGAGTATCAAAGCTGATTGGGTAGGGGTTGGGGGTATAGCTTAGTGGTAGAGTGCATGCTTGGTGTGCACAAGGTCCTGGATTCAATCCCCAGTGCCTCCGTTAAGGAGGAAAATTAAAAAAAATTTTTTTAATTAAAAAAATAAAATTAAATTAAAAAAAATAAAAAAACTGTAAGAGAGCTAATTTGATACAGTTAATATACAGTAATTTCCAGAGGCCAGGAATTCCATTATGTGTCCAGTTCTCTGGTTCTGGATTCAGAAGACCTGGTTTCAGAATTTAGTGCTGACATCTCATTACTGAGTGTTTTTGTCCTTGAAGCAGTATTTCAGCCTCCTGATCTGTACGATCTGTTACACGGAAAACAAGAGAAAACTCAGAAAACCAACAGTTCTTAAGTTCAGAATAACACTGCTCAGCACAAGTTGGGTTTATTCTAAGTTCTCAATAATGTTTGTGGATTTTTTTTTTAATTGAAGTTACTGCTTTACAGAGGCTCTGTCAACATTTGAAAGGACTTAAGTTTATGTTGAGTTGAAAATTCACTTCAAAGCTTCTCTGTGATTTCCCCCCATTCATTCTGATTGACTATGATGGGTAAGAATGACCAGTTGAGGAATATCTTTGTTGTCCCTACTCTTGGTTCTGCCATGTGTTGCTGCTTGTTGATGGGTGCACAGTAGGTGTTTTTGTGTGTTGATTGAGTATGTGACCCACCAACCACAGCATTTAATAGCATTTTGTCTTTGGCAAACACTTTCCCCGCGTGGTAGAGATTTTTCTGTGTAGACGTTCAAGAGCAGATCAGAGACATTCACATGTACGTATGCATATACATCTGACTAGACTTTATTTCATTTATTGTTCCCAAAGGTTAAAGCATCCAAACAGAAATAAAATTAAAATGATTTTCTTTGGGGATGATTTATGTCTTAATTTTCACCTGCTCTATAATTAGAAATTTTGAACTCTGTGAATTTTTTCAAGACGAAATTATTGCCCGGGTAAACTTCGGAAATTACATCATTAACCCAGAGACCTTTTCTAAGCCTAGAACAGCGTTATTGGCACAAGTGCCCGCCCCGCTCTCTGCCCATAGACAAATAAATAAAGAGGGAAGTTAAAAATAATTTGAAAATGATTTATTGTTGGCCACCTCTGTAGTTAGAGATTCAAGTATTATTACTTTAGTGCAAAAAGGGAGGACAGGAAGTTGCTGTGGGCTAACGGTAAATTATGATCTATCGTGAAGGAGGAAGGAAATGTGGGGAGGAAAGAAGAAGGAGTGGGGTTGCTTCAGATAATGGCGTGGAAAACTCTTCACCTTGACCCTTGCTGGGGAAGACCAGAGTAAACTACAAGCCTGACTACCTTCTTGAATTGATGCTGGTTAAGGAGCAGCGTTTGGATTTGGGGAAGGTCAGGTGGATACACTGCAGCCTAGAAACCAAGGTATCCAGAGTCGCAAGCGCCCCCTTCTTCAGCTTTGCTTAACAGTCCTGTCCTGGACGCGCCCTGTGCTAGAATATAAAGAGATCATTTGATACACTGAGACCTAGCCCACCCATTCTGAGGGTGATTTTGAACTCTGCTATCACTGTTTGTACCGTGAGTGAAAGTCTTCAGTTTAGAAATTCATTGGGAACATCCATCTTGGAGAGGCTGCTAGCCATTGGTTTTAATTTGGAATAAGAAAGAGGTGGTACATTTCATCCTCAACGGCGTGATGCAGGGAAGGAAGAGAGAAGACGAGACTGTATTGAGGGTCTGTTACGTGGCCAGGTCCACGCTAGCTGTTTCAGTGATCTTATCTCGTTGAATCCTCCAAAACCCCCACGGGGGAAGGCTCTGCTGCTTCCGCTTTGTAACTGAGGGAGCGGAAACCCACCTCTGAGTGTATTACCCAAAGGAACAGAGTCAGAATACGGCAAGTCTGTGATTCAGTTGTAGAGTCAGTCTGGCTCCAATTCCTGTGTTTTTCACCCCATACCCATCTCTATCCTGGATGACTTTTATTGCCACCATGTGAGACACAGGAAAACTAATATCCAAAAAAAAAAATGAAGGCATTGATGCCCATCGCACCCCATTGCTGTCCTGGATTCTTCTTTCACAGGATTCCTTGGCTGAATAACATCACGTTCATAGTAACTTTTAACATGTCTAAAGGCAAGTTTCCCCCGGACTTGCTTTAGGTTCGCTCCCAGAGGTAGTGGTCACCCATCTTCGAGCAGCTGCCCGTGCCCAGGACACAGTGCTGGCCCTGGAAGACGCGGTGGACTGGCACCCTGGGGAGGAGGTCGTCATCCTCAGCAGGGCGGGTGCCCAAGGTGCCAAGCCCACAGAAGAGACTGTCATCGTGGACACAGTGCACCATGCAGACCTCCATCTGAGGTCACCCTTGAGGTACTGCATGTCCGCATGGCTCCGTTTGGACAGAAGGAGATGAGATCTTAACTGTGCTGGAGTCTGGACATGTGTTTATCTTTCAATAATTTTTTTAACATTAAATAATGCTAGACATTCTGACAAGAAAATTACACAGCATGAAACATTTTGAAGATTTAGACTTTTTTTTAGGTAGTGAAATGCTAAGTTTATTTATTTATTGAAGTTTAGTCAATTTATAAGGCTGTGTTAGTTTCTGATGTACAGCATGGTGATTTGGTTATACACACACACACACACACACACACATATTCCTTTTCATATTCTTTTTCATTGTAAATTATTACAAGATATTGAATATAGTTCCCTGTGCTATATGGTGGGACCTTAGACTTTTTTTTGGTGGAGGGGAGGGAGATAATTAAGCTTATTTATTTATTTATATTAATGGAGGTACTGGGGATTGAACCCAGGACCTTGTGCATGCTAAGCACACACTTTACCAACACACTCTACCACTGAGCTATACCCTCCCCACCAGACATCTTAAATAACTTTCTCCTGTAAGGCTCTAGAACTTTCACCTTGTAGTAAGTGGTCAGAGCAATAGCCAGCCTAGTTCCTAACTTCCGTATGCTTGTGCCTGTAGTTCACTCTTCTGTGTCCGAGTTTCTAAAGAAATAGAGACCCAGATGGAGAATTTGGCTAATTTAGTGGTTTATTATTCCTAATAAGGTTTGGAGTGATATCTTCAGATGTGCCTTTTTTCTTTTCTTTTTTTCCCCCCCAGATATTCCCACAATGCCACAGAGAACTGGGTGGCTGGAGAGCGCCGTGTTTTAAAGGTCATGGTGGTGCTACTCAGCAGAAGTGTCACCATCCAGGGAAACGTCACGGACGAGAGGGGGAAGCTCCTTGCTTCCTGCCCGGGAGCCGAGGCTTCAGAAGGTAGAGAGAAATCCCACTGGGAAGTCCAGTGGGTGAGAAAGAATGTCCTCAGTGTCAGATGATCTGTGGTATGGTTGGCTTCTTCCAGAATGGAATAAACCCCGTACCCTTTGCATGTCCATACTGTTTTGTAGTTTTCAGAATGAATGCTCTAGATAGATCATTTCATCTGCTGCCCTCAACCACCTTGTGAAAGAGATAGACCACGGTATCTGCTTGAGAAATTAATCATTTCTTTGGAGGGGAAAAATAAAACAAACTCCTGTTAAATGATTAAATCTAGGGAGTCGAATTAAATTTCCAGGTTAGAGGTGATAAAGAAGTCTGCGCGCAGATTCCAGACCTCTTCGAAAATTCTCAGGAAAGCTGATTAATGCCAGGGTCAGGGACACGGGCAGCACGTTGTACGGATGGGCTGGTAGGGCTCCTCTCCCCACTCCATCCCCACTTTCGGAGTTTGTTTTCTGTGTGAACTACCACATACTTTAAGTAAGTGGTTGAAAAAGTCAATTTGTCTTCTGGAGGAATAGCAGGCACTGAATCACACTGATGTGCCTATTAAACATCTATTTCAGGGATGGTTAGTTTAGTAGGTTATGTTTTGGTTTCTCAGGCTGTAGATTATGAGGCTTTCACATGTTGTGAAGACATCGTTTGTCAATTTTGGGCCAGGGTGGTGTGGGTGTCAAGGATGACTCCCAGGCACGAGCTCTGGATGGATGAGAAGGCTGTTTACTGAGACAGGAAGAGGAGCAGGTTTGGGGGTGGGAGGGTGGAGAACATGAATTTAATTTTGTGCATGTCGAGACTGGGGTGCCAGGCCAGCACGTGAGGAGGGTTGTCTGGTGGTCATGGCTGGAGTTAGAGGTTTGAGTCATGGCTACACACAGATGCATGTGGCTGTAATGTGGGGATGTGGTTGGGTTAAGAAGGACCTAGACCCCATCCCCCAGCCGCTAGCCATCTAGCTTACGAATGTGTCATTCTGAAAAATGTTTGGATCCGGTGGATTAGAATCCAGTGACTGCCAACTTTAACGACTTGCTGAATTGGGATCTACAGTCTATTCAGACTCTCTTGGTAATTCTCATATGTGTATTCTCAGATCATATTATACAGAACATTGCATTTGATCATGCTGCAAGAGAGACCAAGCTTCTAGGTTTGGGCCATTATAAATCTGTTGACTCCT